CCCCCCCCCCCCTCCTCCACCGCTACCATGTATTCTAAACTGCACCAAGACATATTTCAAAATTTATCTTTTAATTTTTTTTTTCCTTTACTTTCTTAATGGACCATTCCTCATTAATGTGTGTCTGTATATACAGAGGTGCCGTTAGTATCGTGGACAAACGCACCTCAGACAAATCGTTAAGTAACTCAGCAGGTGAAGCAAGCTGAAATGTAAATAATTAATATCATGAATTTTTATTTTTAATCTAAACATTCCTTTCACACTCGGTTTGTCCTTCAATCAAAAATGGTTCAATATAAAGCAGTGGGACGAATCAGAGTCCCAAAAGTAGCCAGGACAGCAGCTGCCAAAAATGGAATAAAAGCTGCCAAAACTGGGACAAGAGCTGCCACATCTGGGACAGCATATGCCAAAATTTTGATAGCAAGAATAATCTCAGCAGAAGTAGCAAACATCTTGAACACATCTTGAATACAAAAAATGTTGAAGCATGCCTGGTTCAGGCGTAGAGAAGATGAACTGGCAATTTCACAGTGAAATTTGTGCACTGATCAGCTCAAATGGGCCCAGCAAGTATTTCCAACTCACCACTAATTTTGCTTCAATCAGTACGTTTCCTGAAAGTTGTCTCTAAATTTTACTACATAAGTTTTGAAATTTTGGCACAAGGATAATGGCTAAAGGTATCCAGTTTATGATTTTTGCACAAAAAACTTCCTGGAGATAAAAGTAGTTCCTCGTACTCACGTATCACTGCTCTACCTGCCCTTAAACTTGAATTCAATGCTTTACATCATTTCTAATCAAATGACCTAGTGCTCAATAAATCATTATTCATTCAAATTCAGGTACTTTTACTTTCAAGTTTCAAAAAGTATCCCAAAATTTTGTCCACAGTCCAAAACATTTATAAAATTTGCCTCACAAGCAACTGTGAAGTAGAGACAAAATGAAGAAGGGGAAAAAGTAAACACAGAAAATCTTCCATTTTAGTAAGAAATATCTATCCTCTCTACACTAAAACAGTATGAAATAATAGAACCTATTTATAACATATATACATATCAAGCACATGCATACGTGACAGTCAACCTTTGCGACAGTGCATGCCCCTAGTAACGGAAGCCCCGCACCATGCTAAAACGCGAACATAAGGCACTTACGTCCACAGACAATGTGGAGTGAGCACGGCGAAGCGTTTGGTACAAATATCCGCTGATGGAAGAAGCGGAATTATATTTGCTTTTTATCTTCTTTTTGTTGACCATGTTTAGAGGCAAAACATTGGGAGTCAAAAAGTCCTTGGAAAAAATAATAAATAAGCAAAAATGTAAAGCAGATCTAATGGATAACCAATGTCTGATTAAAATGCATAATGAATGACAGAAATCTAAATTCTGAGGGAAAAAAAACTACAAAGGACTACAATACAAGAGTTACTAATTTATACAAATAATAATAATAAAATATGCATATCTGGGTATTTTCGGAAGACAGCTGTAAATGCAGAGAAATCCCTTCCAGCAACACACGCCACGAACACGTGCAGCCCCCGCGAGTGAAGCACCAGCATGTGTAGCACATCAAACACACAAGCAGCAAACGAAAAGTCTGTTCAGACAGAAATATTGCAGACTTGGAGGGGAAAAAAATGCCAAACTCAAGTCACCAGGCCACAGGAGAGCAATCTGGTTGATTAGTTGCCTGTTGACTTTGGCAATTTTCCGATCCAAGCCAGTTCTTGTCTGAACTCTGCTTATTAGAAACAACACTGCACTGGGCAGCTAGTGGTGCCATCTACAGTCTAAATGTCTTACCCACGCAGAGCCAAACTTTCTGGATGACTAGAAATTAAACCACACTTTTACGCATGGATTCATAAAGCATTCTAGCACTAGAAATGCGTCATATCTGACATTTATCAAATTATACCAGTTGGGATGACTGAGCATTCTAACGCAAAAATATAAATATCTCTCAAAAAGAAAAATAAATGGAGTCATAAATTAAGATTAAATAAAATATTTAATATTTATATTTTATCCCCCCTTTTGGATAATGAAAAAATATATTAAAAATAAATAAATAAGCCAAATAACATAATATTCCAATTTCAGCAATAATCATCACAAACAGCAAGAAGTTTCTTCAAAGCTCTCTTCATTTTTTTGTTACAAAATCCTAAAAAATTAGGACATTCTATCATCTTTTTTACATATTTCATATCAAAACTCTCCTCATCAGAATTATCTAACACAGAGGCTAGGATGGCCCAAGCTTCTCAAGCATTCAGCTCAGACTACTAAAAGCCCAGGATCCAAACTCCAGAACACAACAACAACCACCGCACACCAGAACGCCAGCGGAAATACCTACATTGAGGTCAGAGGTCGCCAGCCTCATTCCCAGTTCCTGTCTGGGCGTACACGGCATGCGTCCATCCTTGTCCTGGGCGTGGTGGTTCTCCTTCACGAAGGGACTCATGCTGGAGAGTGCGCGTTTCAGCTTGCGAGGGGTCTTGTTGAAGGAAAATGCTCTGCTGACTCTCTTCCCAAACCTGCAGTGATAAAAATTAACATAATTCATCTTTTTCTTTTAAAATCCCTACTCTCACATGATGACAAATTATACAGTTACTAATTAGTTGTTTCTTACTATCATATTTATACGTTAAATATTTGGGGAGGGGGGGACCATGTACAAATCGGTGCTGTCAGAGTAACTCTTACTTAATAAAAATTTACAATAAAGAGAAAAAACTGCCAATGAGTAATAAGACCTTTTTGGTTTATTATACAATTCCTTACACATACATCCAAAAAGAAAAAAAATTACCATGCACACATCAGTGCTGTCCAAGTAACTCTTTTTTTGAAAATTTACAATAAAGGGCAAAAGAGAAAATGAGCACTGACCTCTTCAGGACCTGCTTGCCTGGGTCTGAGGCAGCAATGTCCAACATTTTGGCATCCAGAGATACTAACAGACTCTCCTGCAATGAAAAAACAATACAGAGCAATTAAAATACCTCTTAACATAGAACGGCTAAATTCTGAATAATAGGTATATATATAATAGTACAGTAACTTAGCTTTCCATTTTCTACTAGGCCAACTTCTTTCATTCACTCCCCTGAAAAACCAAAGGATCAGCAAGATTTTTGATAAGGTAGTGTTCTGGGATCCACAAAATATTGACAAAAACTGTTCAGTCAAGCAAATATGAAATGTGGTCACTCAGTCATGTGATGCATGAATACTAAAGACCACACCTACTGAGAGCACACACACACACACACTGACTTTACTGGAGAAGGACAGAAGGACATGACTCTTTATAAGATATAGACTCCACAATTTATTGACCGGCTATCGGATATCGGATGTCTGCTACCAGCAATTTTGAATAAACTGAAAATAAAGCCAACCGTGTACAAAAAGGAGTTCTATGTTCTTTATAACCCAATACAGGTAGATCCTCTGAACATGCTAGGGTGGTGCAGAAGTACAATACAATACATGACTAACAGACCTGCACTGAATTGGGAGGCGCTGGAGATTTCTTGCAGAGCAGGTCATCTGCACCTTCAGCACCTCCAAAACATCCCCCATGTCTGTGAATATACTACTCTCTCTACTTACCCTGTCTGTCTTACAGGTGGTGTTAGCTATACTCTTACACAGGGTTTGTAAATATACTACTCTCTCTCTACTTACCCAGCCTGTCTTACAGGTGGTGTTAGCTATACTCTTACACAGGGTTTGTAAATATACTACTCTCTCTCTACTTACCCAGTCTGTCTTACAGGTGGTGCTAGCTATACCCTTACAAAGGGTCTGTAAGAACTCCTCTTTGCTCACACCATCTGTACACAGGGAAAAACTGTACAACTTCTCGCGGGCGTCAAGGCTGCTACGGCAGATCAGAGAAAAGACGTTCTTGCAGTCTGGAAAAAGAAAAAGAGCAAAAAAGGCTTAGGATATCTGGTAGTACTACCAAATAACTTATCTAACCATTTTAATAATTTCAAAGGCGTTTTTATTTAGTTATTATCCTAAGTCTGATTAAAAAGCAAACAACTACTTTGATTTTTCTAATCAGGTCTTTAGGAATCAAGAAATAAACTTTGAAATTGATCCACTAAAATTGAAGGCAGTCTTCAGCCAGGATTTTGAAACAGGGAGTGTAAATTCATTCTTTTACTGAAATAGGTTGTCTACACTCCTTATGCTTCAATAATAAAATTCTTTAGTGGCCATCCAAAAATTGAAACAGTAAAAAAAAAAAGCCAGACACTTGCCTGATTGAAGGACAAACCAAGTATTCACCTTTCACAAAAATAAGCATGAACCCACGTCCAGCAGAAATTGGGTTAACTGTGCATCATTATCTGCTGAACAATGAAGGAAAGACTGAAGGACAAAAGGGGCCGCTAACTCACCTTCTCCCTCCGTAATGTCAGCCACGCGTTTCACGGAGGCCAATGGCAGCATTTCTATGTGCTTGTACGGCTTTTGTGGTGTCTTGGAGGGCGCGGGGCTCTTGAAGTTACCAGCTCTCCGCCTTCTGCATATCTGAACATGAAATACATTAAAACTAGAATGAAATTGGGGGAAAATGAAAGATAATTCTCTTTAGACATGAGGAAGTACTGCAGTCTCTATACACAGACTAATGGGACTTCAAAGGTGCAAATCAAAGTTTGTCAGGAGGTGATAAATTAAATCATTTTGGTGCCATCTTCACACCACTATATTTACTTATGTAACCCTTATGTAATAAAATAATGATAAGAAATGAATAGCTGTTGAAATAAGCTATTTATTGATGTGCAACAAGTTGGTACATATTGGTCAATTCCTGGCACCCCTGTCTTTATCCTCAAATCATTTTGAAGATGACTACAAATTAAGCCTCACCTCTAGACTGTCAGAGAAGAGATACAGTGTGAGGGCGTCTCCCTTGCCTCTCAGCTCTGTGGAAAGGTCTATCACATCTACCTTGGTGATGTAACTCCTGTGGGATGACAGTAGGTTTGGCTGGAGAGAAAATTAATTGATTAATTAATTAATTAATTAATTAATTAATTAATTAATTAATTAATTAAGATGAAATGGGTTCTCATCACGTAAAATTCAATGAAACTCCTGCAAGACAGAGGCAGGAATTTGTGGAGGGAATATAAATAAATTAATAAATATATTTAAATTTAAGTAGGTTCTGATCTGGTCAAACAGTACAAGGCATTGCTACTCCTGTGAAACAAAAGCTGACTTGGATGAAAGGAAACTAAATTAATGCAATATCTAATTATATAGAAATTCAACTTATATTTTTGACATGCCTCACAAAAATAGAACATTCATCTAAAGAAGAAAATACTTGTCCATGTATTTCAATATCACAATACCATGTCTGGAGGAAAATCCTTCTACTTTCTTCTAAATTAAACAAGGCAGCAAAGCTGTCAAATGTACAGACAAAAAAACAGAAAATAATGATGCAAAAAAGGTCATTTTGCCAATTTTGATGCAATAATAAATAATGCTTATAATAGCACTGTTAGTCAACACTGAATTTTAATCATGCACAACAGGTAACATGGTCAATAACAGGAGCTGACCCAGAGATATTTTCTGACAGTATTCCAAAGTATCTTTGTTGATCCATCCTCTATTTTGATGATCTTCCAACAGAAAAAAAAAATTTCAGTCAATATAAACTTAAAAATCCGAACGTCTTCCGGAAGCTGACCCAGAAGATGGTCTCAATCCATCCCTTCAATAAGATTACAGTATCAGGACCATGAGAGACCAAAGTCACATGATGAAAGTCTCAATATTTGAAAAATGATGACAGTGCATAAAATAATATTACATAATGTTTGAAAACATAAATAACATACAACTGCTTATGTGGAAATACAGAAAATGTGCAGAGCTTCAGGCGGTTAAATATCACAAATGCAAGTGTTTGAGAAAAAAGTTATTAAGGAAAATAAACAAAACTAGAAAAGCACTCCGAGAGTGCAGACCTCTGCCCAGGCAGCAATTGTTGATTATATATATATATATATATATATATATATA